CCTCCTCCTCCTCCTCCTCCTCCTCCTCCTCCTCCTCCTCCTCCTCTACCCTCCTCCTCCCCTCCTCCTCCTCCCCTCCTCCTCCTCCTCCTCCTCCTCCTCCTCCTCCTCCTCCTCCTCCTCCTCCTCCTCTTGGGGGGGTCTAAAGATCCATCTCGGTTCGCCCTCTTCAGCTCAGGAGCGTGCGGCTTCGCCATCGGGGGGCAGATCGCCAAGCCGTCGGCGACGTATCGCCGATGCCGGGTCGACGCTTCCCCCTCGGAGCCAGGCCCCCCCCTGTGATTTTAAGAAACCCGAGAGGGGTACCCAGACATGATCGCGTCGTAATAAAGTCAGGACGGGAGGTTTTTGCCTATTTTCGGCTCCAGGGGGCCCTCGCCGGGCCCTGGGACCGTCAAAAAAGGATTCAGGGCGAAAAACCGGTCCGGGGGAAAGGGTCGGGACTTCCAGGGACGCCGTCCTGGAAAAATCAGGACGTCGCATGTGGGAACAATGCCCAACAACAAATGTTGTCCAAACCGACAGCGGCCGCTGTTGGGCAGGCAGCTCAGAGAACAGCGTCCGCGGCGGCGCGGTCAGCGAGTGCTGTTCAGAGTGAACAAGAACTACTGTTGGGCATCGTACCCATTCTTTCCGTACCCACTTCGATCGTCCCGATCTATTGGTCTTCCTCGAGTGGAGGAGGCCAGGCTGGCGGCCTGGGCGCGACCAAGACGCTGTTTTGCTGCTTTTGTGTTCGTTTCCCCGTTCTGTTTTCGGGCGCTAGGACGCGGCCGTTTTGCTTTCGTTCTCCTGGACGAGGGATTGAAACGAAATGGGCATGCTTGAAGGATGGCGCCGTTTCGGTTTTCGCCATCATTTTAAACGTAAGCGGTGTTCAAAACAAGAAGGCGGTGTTCAAAACAAGAAGGACGTTTTATTGATCGTGTTCTTACTCATTGTTTTGCCGATCGGCACTGGCCCTTGCACCCCTCTTCCCCCCCCAATGGAGTAGATCGTGGCTGTTGTTGGCGCCTGCTTCAAGCAGGCGGGGTCTCCCCGATAGGACGCACTGTTGCAAACAGTGGCATTAAGCAGCGGTCCGGAGCCAGACCCCCCTCTTCTCCCACCCCTTCCGCCCAATGTCGAATCGCCGAATAAGAAAACGTTCACTTGCTCGCGCCCTGTTTCAGAGTCTCGCCTAACAAAAAGAAGGCAGGTTGCAAGATGATGCAGGTGGCGAGACGGTGACGAGCCAGCGCCTTCCTGATCGGATTTCTGGCGATGTGATGTGTTCCCCTCGTTTGCTCGACTTCGGCCTCGTGGTCCCATCATCGGGTCGGGCCCTGGGACCATCAACAAAAACGGAGCCGGGACGACAGAATGCCCCCTGGGAATCGGTTGGGGTTGCTTCTCACGCCTGCGGTGTCCCCAGGGACGGCGCCATCGAATTTTGTGTTGGCACCCTTCGGTGTGTGTGTGTGTCTTTGTGTGTGTGTGTGTTTGTGTGTGGTTGTGTGATTTGTGTGTGTGTTTGTGTGTGCATGTGCTTGTGTGTGTTTGTGTGTGTGTTTGTATGTGTGTGTCTTTGTGTGTGTTTGTGTGTGTGTGTTTGTGTGTGTGCTTGTGTGTGCTTGTGTGTGCTTGTGTGTGTTTGTGTGTGCTTGTGTGTACACGGCGCCTCGCGCCGACGCGCCACCTGAGCCGAAAGGGGGCAGCATACGGGGCGTTCCAAAAAGGGCCTCTCCTTCGAGGGTTTGAGGAGGAGGAGGAGGAGGAGGCGGAGGAGGACGAGGAGCAGTTGTCATCTCTTCCGCGGCGGAAGGCGACGGAAGGTCGGCGGAAGGCGGCGGAAGCACACCGAGGCCGCCCCTCCGCCAGCGGAGGCCGGTGGAAGGGCGGCGGGAGGTGGCGGAAGTAAAAGGTGCGCCCCCACGAGATGACAACGTTTTTGGGGCTCAGGGTTTCCGAAACCTACCATGTGGGGCGAGGGTCACGCTTATCAGGAGGAAAAGGAACACACAGACACAATTAATCTTCGATTCCCCAGAAAATATGCGAAAATATAGGCAGTGGGGGGAAGACAGAAACCCAGAAAATACGGGAACATATGGGGGATATGTTTATTTGTGTGTATTTATTTGTGTGTCCTGGGGTCCCTTTAGTTTAATCGATCCCAGTCCCCACCGGGCTATGGTATCTCAGCCCCACCGTCCAGCCACCCCAGTTGGGGACAGGCCCCTCGAAACCCGAGGGGAACAGCCTACGTTCCCATCCAGGGGGGCAAGTCGGCCAGTGGGGTCCAGGCCGTGCCAGAAGGGACAGGGATCGGTTGAACGATGCTCGGGAGCCCCCAGACCCCTTTCGCGTGGTGAGAAAGTCGCGACGGCTGGTTTTTGACAGTTTTCGGCCTCTCGGGCCTTCGCTGGGCCCCGGGACCGTCAAGAAACGGCCCAGGATGGAAATTGGCCCTGGGGAGAAGGGTTGGAGCGTCCGGGACTCCGCATGGAAAAAAACACAAGACAACGGATGTTCAGGGAGGAGTCAGTGGCAACGCAAGGGGGGATTAGGCGCAGGTGGGAGCGTATCAACCCCCAATCGCCCATTCATCGCCGATGGGGGCCCGACAGCCGACGCCCCAGGCAGGAGCGTGCGGATTCGCTGTGGGGGGGGTAGATCGCCGATGTGTCGGCCATGTACCGCCGATTCCAGGTCGATGCTTCCCCCCACCAGCCCCCCCCCCCAGGACTCATTTCGACTCCCCCGATTCGATTCGATTTCGATGGCTTCCGGTTCCGATTCGATTCGACTTGGGATTCCGATCGGGACTCCGATTCCTTCCTGGACGCAAGCTAGCCGTCCGACTTCCGCCGATTCGACATCTCCCGCCTCGGTTGCCGACTTCCCCCCGATCCGACTCCTGTCGATCGCCGATTCGACTCCTCGATGC